TTCCTCCGTGATCATTACTATGACGAGGTCAGCGTGCGCCTGATCCCCATCAGACAAAGCTTATTACCCCATAAGCAGAAGTCCTACGATTGGATCGCGGAGCTAAGGGATCAGTATGGACTGGGACGGTACGAGCTCAGCGATGAGACCATCATGAGTCTCCAAGGCCCTCATCCCCTGGTCGATCAAATATACAACCAAAATAACTGTCACTTTCGACCGACGGTGGCGGATCGCGTCATTGGATTGCTGGTATCCCGCTCAATTCAAACGATGCGGCGACTGAAGCCAAATGCGATCCACGTTCTGGTTGTGTGCTCATGGAACTGCCAGGGGGACAATGTCCACAAGGAGATGAACGCCACGTTCGACCTTTGCAGCGCGGAGACACTGTCTGAGGTGGGTGCGGTGGCTGCTAGACACACGGGCAAGGCATGGGCCCTCAGACCATTCCTGGAACCCAATGTCAGTCGCCGGCCAATGCCCCGCACTCTTTTTCAGACATACATGCACGATGACCACCCAGGTCCCAAAAGCATGTGCCGGGAATTCCTGGCCGATTTCGAGCGCTCCTTCTGCAACGATGAGATTTTGCTTGAGACCCTTCAGGTGCATGCTGGAGACAGCGGAGAACACTTGATCAAAAGTCTGAGGCAGCCTGCTCACAAGGCTGATGTCTTCAGGTACGTCTACCACTACTATCATGGTGGCCTGTACCTTGATATCAAGATGGCGCTGCGAATGCCCTTCGATCAAATCTTAGGGCTCCTAGCTTCAGAATGGGACAATGTCCAAGTTCGCAAGAGCAAAGAGCTGGGGCACTGCCCAAATGGAGTGGAAGGGGTTCTGCCCCGGGAGTACCTGATCATGGGCATTGGGGTCAAAAATGACCACATTTTCCAGGGCATCATCTATGGACAACCGCGCCATCCCCTCATGCTCTGCGCTATCAACCACGCTTTCAGCAGGCAAATTCTTGCATCGGTCGCCAACCTGGACTATATGATCTTCTGCAAGGAACTTTGGAAGCTCCTCACGCACGACATGGGCCACACCCCAGTGACAGGATGGAACCAGACCCGACAGTTCGGACCGGTGTATTTGCTCCGCGAGCGACATTCAGCTCAGCTCACCAAGTCCAAAGAGCTTGAGTCCGACGGCCACTACTTTGAGACCCGCGGTCAGGTTCGGGTAGCATTCACCCGATGCTGGAGCTGGCGAAAAGGCTTCAAGGGCGACCCCAGGGCAGCTCAAAGAAATGAAAACTCTCTCATGCAGAGCGTGCCCCAAATCGTCTCGGAGGTCATTGAAGCCGGTGGCGCTGCCTCTGCAGCACCCCATTCAGCACAGGCGGGAGCAATGCTCACCAATGCAGGCGTCAGAGTTGTCGGCGAGACCGTGCTCAGCAGCCTCGAACGGGGTGACTTTGACGCGATCATGGCGGCGGTCGAGAAGGAGCCGCAGTACAACGGCATTTCGGCCGAGGCTGTCCTTCGCAACATCCCCCGAGGCCTATGCCTTCACCCTGAAGATCCAGACTGGCTTTCCTGCCGCTACTGCGAGCGCGGCGGTCGGCGCTTGAAGTTCCCAAATGAGTTGGGAGTCACACACCACTTCATGCAATCCCGGCATGACCGATCAGTGCCCGAGCCACCAAGCCCTCCGCCTCGCAACAGCATGTGGTCGCAGCGCCCGGCAGAGCCTGCTAACCCTCCCTCAGCTGCAGCCATCGCAGCGTCAGGCCAGGCTCCACCGCCACCAGAACCCACGGCGGACCGTCCGCCCCAGTGGAGACCCACAGCGTCGGTGTCTAAGGCACGCTTTGGGCTCGGCCTCCCTCCCATTCCGCCAGGTCCTACCCCACATGCGCAGGGCCACCGGCCTCTTGCAGTGAAACACGAACAAGGGGTCAATGACCAACAGGCGGACATCAAGGATGAGAAACAGGCCACTGCTGTTCCCACGTTGGGATGGGCAGAAGACACTGTGGGCACGCCAGACACTCCGATGCTGCCGGCGAGCACACCGCAGCCACACAAGTCTGCTGGCTCTGGCCAGACAAGTGATAGGCCTTTCAATGCATTCTCAGCCCAGAATGTGACTCCGACGGCTGCCCCCACCACACCTGTGACCTCCACTCCAGCGCAACCGACTACAGCTCGCCGCCTCTCCACCGAGGAGACCGTCCCGCAGACCCCAGGCCCGGCTGACACTACATCATCCTCCCCTGTGGATGCCCCCTCTACGCGTGCGGAGGTCAAATACCAGGGACCGGTCACTACGACCAAGCTGGTGGAGTACAGTGTCAACCCCTCTCCAGAGCAAGAGGCAAATCAACTGCCAAAGCGAGATCAGATTATCCACATCTGCCAGTCTGACCAGATGCTGGAGTGGGTTCATGCCTTCGCGACCATTTCCATTATGAAGGAGCAGGCATAGTGGGTGGCCTCACGGCCTCCGAGCAGGTCTACCTCTGGACCAATCGGTTTCGGGCACTGGGCAAGGTGCCATGGATCTTCGCCCCGATCAAGAAGGTCGCCACCGATAAAGATGCCAAATGGCTTGACATCACACAGGCGCGGCTCATGGTCGGGGCCAATGGCCTATTCACACTATCGATTGGCCAAGATGATCGCTACACAGAACTCAAATCTACAACGACCTACTATGGCATAGTGCATGCCCTCTTTCAGAAGATGTGGGATCATCCGGACATGAGCGCACTGCTCGAAACGGATGACAACTTCGAGATCGTGGCCTCCACCTTCAAATGCATCTATGACCAGTCCTCCAGGAAGAGTGGTGGCCAAAATCGCGCCATCTTCTACCAGCCTCGGGATGGTCAAGTTGTCCGCAAGCTCCGTATCGAACACAACAAGGGCGACACGGCCACCTACCAATGGCATCGTCAGCGCGAGCTGCGTGAGCAGCGTGAACAGCGTGACAAGCGCTCTGGTGAAGAGACACAGTCTCACACAGACAAGCGCTACAGGGACGGCGATGCCTGGACCCGAGGAGGGTGGTGGAATCGTGGCTCGGACTCGGGGGCCAGTGGCAGCCGCTCCTGGCACCAGTGAGCTCCAACTTTGATCACCGGTGCCAATGGCAACCTATGCAGTGCAATGCGGAGGCTTTGCCTGCATTTCCATTTCGTTTCTTCCGGAACGGACTGACGGCCTTTCTGCTGATTGCCGCCGCTGTCAGTGAAAAACATGCCTAGCCTTCTGCCGGTCGCAGTACTGTGCCTCTGCTACTAGTGCTGCACAATCACTATCCTCGTTCAGGTACACACAACAATCTGAAGCTTGATGCCTGGCAGCCTACAAACTTGCTTCGGCTGACCACTGCCAGTTAGCTGGAAGCCTGTAGGCCGCCAACACCCAAAGGTCTTTGACCTGGGCTGTTCAGCTATAGGGTCTGAGTCAGTTTCACACCATGTGAGTGCACCGCGGCAATCGCCCGCTATGTGCTGAGCCCGCTCGCACAGCGTTCAATTGAAATAGTAGTGGTAGTAGTTGTAGTAGTAGTAGCAGGAGTAGTAGTAGTAGTAGTAGTAGTAGTAGTAGTAGTAGTAGTAGTCGTCGTCGTCGTGGTAGTCGTAGTAGTCGTACTAGTCGTAGTAGTCGTAGTAGTAGTAGTAGTAGTAGTAGTAGTAGTAGTAGTAGTAGTAGTAGTAGTATGAGTAGGAGTAGTAGGAGAAGCAGGAGTGGCAGGAGTGGCAGGAGAAGGAGAAGGAGGAGTAGGAGGAGTAGGAGGAGTAGGAGGAGTAGGAGGAGTAGGAGGAGTAGGAGGAGTAGGAGGAGTAGGAGGAGTAGGAGGAGTAGGAGTAGGAGGAGTAGGGGGAGTAGGGGGAGTAGGAGGACGAGTTGAAATAGAGTGGGGGTAGGAGTAGAAGGAGGAGGAGGAGGAGGGGGAGGAGGAGGAGGAGGAGTGTGCAAGCAACGCTTCCAAACACCGGGCAGATGAGTTCTATAGCTTCTCAGCTTTGCTGGCTTTACTACGAAACTCGGCTATTGATATATCAATTTAACTCCCCCTCGCAAAGCCAATGATATCAGAGAATCCTGTGAACATTGCATATTGACCTCCCCCCTGTCCCTCCCCCCTCCACAAACCAGAGAATCCTGTGAACCTTTCAATATACCCCCCCTACCCCCAACTTGATACTATCAACAGACGAAACACCGACCAAAACGAAACGGACACCGATCGGAACACGGGACGGGACACGATCGAGACACCGACGGCAACAGACTCTTGGTGGCTCTCTCGAGAATCACAGTAGCCGTGTTCGTTGACGAGGCAAGTGACGTACACCAAACTACTGGAAAATTGGTGCGCAGCACTACAGGCAGGGCTTGTGGTTCGAGCTTACCTGTCGCGGCTTCGCGGCATCTGGGGATGTGAGAGCCAGTGTCTTCCCGTGCTGTTAAGCGACATGAAAAGCCAGCCTTTGGGCTTGTCGACTCCCCAGCAACCTCGCCACAATAACGCACGCCGAATGCTGAATCGATCTGACTCGTATAGCAGCTTTGCTCCCAATAATCCTTCTGCAGCTTTGTTCGTTGGTTCGTTCTCAGAATTCCTGTTTATGCTGCTTTGAAGCTTCGGGCTTCCAGACTCTCAGAGAGCTCAGCTCCCAGCTTCGGACCCGGTGCCAGACTCCGAGGGCGCCCGCCATCCGCTTTTTGCCTCCCATCTTGCATGATCAAAATGGCGCATCGGCTCATCACATCTTTGTGCCTTTTACGGTTTAGCACGAGATACTGAGTAGAGCAAACTTCGGCTAGGTCCTCAAGCAGTCTTGAATTTCAACTCGAGGGGAAGGTGCATCGCATTAAGGGATTTTGCAGACTCTAGAAGTCATCAGACGATCAATGCCAGTCACGTATCATGCGTCTGCACCCAATGTATGCTACAAGTCATTTATGCCCAACATGAATGAAAGAAAGGAAAATAACATGAAGGAACAAAGTCTACTTTCAGCAAGCTTCACACAGTTAACAGCAGAAATGGGCCTGTGCCGTTACCTCACAGCACTCTTCAGCAGGCTGTGACACAGCAGTCGCAGAAGCTTGCAGAGCTGCGGGCTCTGCAGCCGGCTGTGCGGTCTCTGACATCGCGGCATGTGCGGCAGCCGACTGGGCGGCAGTTGGTTGTGTGGCAGCAACACTGGCAGCTGGCAGTTTGGACTTGGTCGGTGTGACATTGGGCTGTGTGGTATTTGGCGGAGTGCCGTTGGGAAGTGTAGCAGCCGTGGCAGCAGCGGGCTGCACTGCAGCCGCTTGCGTGGCAGCGGGCTGCGTGGAGGAGGCCTGTCAGGCGGCACTCCGCGAATGCATGCGCTGCGCTTTGCCAAGACTTTCACTCCGAATCCAGGTCCCGAACTGGGCTTTTTGTCTGCGTTGGCGTGCCGGGATGTGGCGTTGACCTTATCGCAGACAGTGCGGCCTGCTGGTCGGTGCGCTCGTCAATTCACGCTTTCGACTTTAAGGACTGCGCGGATAAGAATGGTGGTATGGCAGCGGCTGCCCAAACGAAGGCGGATGTCCTGCGATCGTCATTCATCCGCACAATTGCATTACCTACTGGCAATCCATTGTGCACACTCATTGTGTCACGCGGCAGGTCCATAAGGGTAGTGTGCTCCACCTGCGGGCGGAGTATAAGGAAGAGGATATGGTGTCGGCTGGGAAGGCCTCAGCGATCATGAGGCCGCATCACGCACATGCTGCATCACGCTCCAGAACCGGCACAGTATGGCCTGTGCAAAGACCTTCAGGACCAAGGTGCAGACGGATATGGATATGGGTGATGCTGGTATGGGTATGGCGGCAGGCCTGAACCGATGACAAGACGGGGCCGATACGCTTTCCAAGGAAGACTCGAGGTGGAAACCATATCCTGCAGAACTCGGATCCGGCACGGTCGATGGCGGTGCCTCAAAAACGAGGCAAGACCTAAAGAAAGAACCGTCCTGGCTTGCAGGAATGGACATCAATCTGGCTGTGGCCTGGTAATACATTGGTGCAGCTTGCTGTGCCTGAGTTGCCGCAAGGATCCCATACACTAGCAGTTGTCTCTAGCACACACATCTTACTCAATGTTGCTCAACTTGGACCTGAGAGCCTATGTTCGATCCCGTGAAGTGTCTAGCCAAGGACGCAAAATGAGATGAAGCATGATCAAGTACAAGTAACCCATTCTAGATGTGCCAATATTCCCGACTATGGCATCCTGCTGCAAGGGAAATTTCGGTTGCTTGTGCATCTACCTGGGCCGCCTGCCGGTGAAGGATGCGGTTGTGGAACACCGTGTAAGGGTGCTGGATCGGTTGGGGTTGCCTGTCATGGGCCAAAGTGAGCATCCCTTCGTTCGCCTTCACAAGGCTGTCAATGCCGTGAAAAAGGCCTGCCCGGGTCCAGGGAGTGCAGCTGGCCTGCAAGATCAACCAAGACGAACAATCTTCGACGAGCCCGTTGCAGAAGCACTGCTCGGGTTGGAATGTTCACAAGGCAACTTAAGCCCAACACGGTGGAACAGGAGGAGCAGCCTGCATAAGAGTTACTGCTACATCACTTGTTTGTCACGATTGAGACGAGGAAACAGCCACCTCGGGGGGACCGAGAACAGCCACGTTCCTTGCCACTGCAGATGCATTGGAACACCCCTGGTGCCTGATCGTAGCAGAAATCAATTCTCAATTGAAGCGGTCCTTGCCACCAGTCGATTCTTTGCTCCCTTGCGGTGATGATCTCGTTCGATGTCGAACTCGACCACCTGCCCAGAGTGAGCCCCGTAGAGTATGGAACTGCAAAAGAGGAACACAGCCCAGTGCACCGTACTCAGGCCCAGCTGCGCATTCTGGCACTGCGCCTGACAAAGCCGACTTCCGGGTTTCAGTCCTACCCCCGTCATTGTGCTAAGCCGACCAGCAAGGAGTCACGATGCACGAAGAGATCCCCAGCAAATCTGTCGGAGTTGATGAAGCCCCAGGCCTCATGTGCTGACCGTGGTCAAGATCTCACGCTTGCAGAGACTCGGCTCTTGGGCCCGAACGCCTTGGAAAGATCGGATGTACCCGCGCAACCTGCAAGAGTCCGCATAAGTCCGCCATTTGCAGCCTATGGCACTTACGGCACTTACAGCCTGTGGCCAATCCAATCGCCGGGTCTCAGCAAAGCTCGTGTGGTGATTTGCTTCGCCACCTCGAGGCACTGCAGCAGGCACTGCTCGTGCGGTCGGCGATATGCCACATATCACCAGGGCGATGATCCCCCGTAGCATTCGATTGGATTTCAGATGACGTGGAAGAAGTCGTGCTAGCAGATTGCTACACCTTGCTCGCATGCGCGCATGGTGCCACAAACCAAGCTGCGAACCGCCCTTCCACGATCATCCAGGGCAACGTCAAACTCCACGACTTGACCCTCGGTTGCAGGGAGCAGTCAGGGTGACACAGTCGTGGTGGGGATAGGAAGGCACAAAACCAGCACAGCTGGGACAGGAGTAGATGCAATGCGACATGCTGGAGGCTGAAGACTGGCGAGATCCAGGCCGTTCTGAGAATCGGCTGACCATCCGCACCAGTTTCAGAACCCGGCCTGATGTATGCGAGATGGGAGCATGCGCGTGTGCCTCACACCTCCTGCGAGACTCTTAGCGCCGGTCTCAAGCAAGAGGTTGTCCCGGTGAACGAAGAGGTCTCCGTCAAAGGCGGCGGCATTCAGGAAGCCCCAACCTGCGCCGCTGAGAGAAGCAGAAATCTCTAGGCTCCGAGTGGTCTCCTGGTCTCCACGAGGCCCAGGCGCTCGGCGAAACGCCGGACGTAGCCCCGGTGCCGCTGGCCAAGAACATCGTAGGGCCTCTCTGCAGCACTAAGACTCGACGAGTTGCGATCGTGTCTGAAGCAGAGAACATGAGACGACGATGTCGCAATTCTCTCCACTGCGAGCCAAGCTGAGCTAGCGGCTTTCTGCCCAGGACCGGCTTTACGGCTACAGCCACGGCTTTGCCGTTCTCGTCGGCCTGAACATCGAACCTCAGCTCAGTAATATGCAAGGCGGCAACAACATGTCCAATTACACGCGCTCAAATGAAACCAAGGATGCTGCTCGACTCCTTCGTTCTCATGAAGGGGATGAGCCTGCAAGTGAAGTGGCATCTGTATGCATAAAACACCCCCTGACACAATCGAATTCGAAGTTCGAGGATTCGAGGATCCGACCTGAAACTCCGGCATTATTCGATCTATCCTGAACATCAGCTCGCCCTCGAACATGTGACCTGAAACGGCCACAGGGCAGGGCAGGGCAGGGCAGGCAACGCGACACCAGCTGCTTCGCTGCTCCGCTTCTTGCAGAAGCGCACTTTTCACCATGCCGTAGCCACTGACAGGAAGGTACTTCGTCACGGAGCCAATAAGCCTTTCCACAAAACCATTCTTCTTTCCAGCTCGTAGAAGTTTGCAGCACAAATCAGTGAGAGCCTTTCTTGCTTCAAGTCAAGTGCGGACTTGACAGGTAGCCTGTAGCTATCGCCCGCTGTTCGAAAGCAAATGCTTCTGCCAGAAAACTGGCCGGCTTGACGTGATCCCAGAGAAGGCTTCTTCTGGCGGCCTTAATCTGACGAACGCAGAACTTCACAAAACCTGCCAAACAGGTACGCTTCGCCTGTCCTTGCCTTCAGGGTGTGCAGGGGCTGGGACGAGGCAGACAGGTGCCATTCCGGCAACACGGAGCTCCGGTCAAAGTCAGCCATGAAACATGCACAGCCACTAAGGCATCGACTCGCCATCCTCAGGTCCTCGACAAGAAAGGCTTAAACCAGAGAGACTGACTTCGTCTGTCTGCCAGCCTCTGCAGATCATGCCTCAGCTACATGCTGCTGCAAGTGCCGATTTTTGGGATGTGGTGTAAGTAGAGGGCTCTCTGTCACCGCACCGGGCCTGGGCTTTTAGGCTCAGAGTCTGATTTCTCGTTTCGAGAGCCGCTGAGCTGCTGGCGGCACCGGGCCTGCGTACCGATCGACCTCGACGGGAAAAGATTTTTCATTGCGACATGTTGCGCCACAAGGACATTTCCGAACGGCCTGAATCATGACAGACTCGATGGTGTTCATGTGCATTACTTGAAGCGTGTCCGCGGTGCCTGGCTTCGTCAGAGTCGACTGGGTTAAAGTACTGAGCATTCTGGAAATGGCAGTAAACAGGGAGTCGCTGCAGACTGCACCTTGGTTGGCATGAGCCTCGGTGTGCACTTACATGCAACATTGTCACGTGTTTCGAGCGTCTGAGAAGACCTCCCACCTGCATTTTGCATCTAAGTCTGTTGCTTGCTCTGCATCTTTGGACTGCTGGCCGCCAGAGGTCAAGGTAGCCAAAGCTGCATCAGCCGCCTGATCATGTAACCACAGCTGCCCGAGCACAAATCAGTCGGTTTCGGCATGACGTAAATGCTTTGCATACCTTTGCATTTCGGGCCGCGACCATGACGACAGTTGACAATGTACTGCGACCGAAGGCGAAGCCTGTGTGCACAACCCAAGCAACACACAAGATTCAGACTCAGTACTCTCCCCGCACGCGCGAGGTCAGCGGCGGCAACGCCTTCATGAGGCTTCGATGTCACAGCACATCTTGACAACGCACATGCTACCCCTGTGAGCCTTCTGGCCATCAACGCCAACCCTTGCCCTGCCCGATGCTCATGGACAGAACCTATGGGTGAGACGCAGCATTGCCTGAACCAACCAGCCCGCAGGAGATCGCGTGCAAAATAACTTGCACAATACAGCCAAACATGACAGCAGTTTACGCATGTGTCCAAGTACTACACAGAATGTGTGAAACAAGCAAGTCTGATAAAACACTCCGCATGTTTCTGATGCGATGCGAAAAGAGAGCTCTGCTGTACGCAACGCAAGCAATGGATCTGGATCTGACGAAGTGCACTAATGGACCCTCGAGGAATCACCGGGCAGCGTGGACACCCAGACGGAAAGCCGCTCACCGTCAGCCAGGTGCGACTCAGAACCGCCACTGTTGTGCTGCAGTTATCTCGTCGACACTGCGTATCTTAGCCCATCATACGATCCGTTCATTGACCGGCAGTTTTAGGACTCAACCGGCATTCCTCTACTCATACCCGAAGAAGGCATTTTGGATGGCATCGCGCCTAGTTCATGGGAATCCACTTGCAAGTCCAGAGTGCATGCGTTTGTTTTGCACATCCAGTGCGACTCCGGCATTGGAATTGCTGTGGCTTGTATCGGCTTGCAAGGCAGCATTTGGGGTCCCCGGACGGCATCGGATTCTGGAGTTGTCGTTGTCGATACAAACATTAGGATCCTTTCGAGTGTCCAGTTGTTTGGGGTTTTACCAAACTAATATGCTTATACGCAACAAAACAACCAGATGCATGCGCATCTTTGTACTTGAGCCAAAGACGGGTAATGGGTATAAGTTAGCTACATCTTACACTTTGGGTTTAGGTCTAGGGCCTAAAGGGGTTAAGACCAGACCAGCTTTAAGATCAAACCCTAGACAGAACAGGAACCTTAAAGACCAAACCCTACACCAGACTGGGACTTTAAACCGGGGACAGCCTACCCTCGACCTTCAAGCCGAAGCCCGAAGCCGTGCGGATTAACTAAGTACTTGTGCAACCACTGCTCCGAAACTCACAGGGCCCGAAAAATGCAAAACGCACTAAAGCACCACCAATCAATGGTAGTAGTAGTAGTAGTAGTAGTAGGAGTAGTAGTAGTAGCAGCAGCAGCAATGGTAAAAGAAGTAATGGTAGTAGTAGTAGTAGTAGTAGTAGTAGTAGTAGTAGTAGTAGTAGTAGTAGTAGTAGTAGTAGTACAGTGTATTTCGTCGGCCGATTCGAGGAACTCTTGCAATCATGGAATCTTGCACCACTTGAACCACGTGCCCCACTTGAGCCAGTTGCGCTATTATTGCCCAGTGACCCAGCCACCCAGCCACCCAGCTGTCCACCCGCCGGTCCCCTGCCACGGGAATGCGGTGCAACGGCCCCGCAGCTCCCCTCACACCCAAAAAATGTTTCAGTACTTTGGGCTGGCAATTCTTAAACCCAGGCCCACCCACCCCCTACCTATCAATTTGCCCCTCCCCCCCTTCCCCTCCGCGGCCCCAAAGCCACCACACCCTTCTGATGCTCATGATGCTTGCCCGCCCCCTTCCAAAATAAAGAATGACGCCCATACTGACCCTAAACAAAACACCTTAACCAATGTGCTCGCCGGGCACCCGTAACCCTAAACAAACCATAAGCCGTAACACCCCCCATAGCCTAAACCCTGGAAGCCGTAAAACCCCACAATACCCTAAACACCCAAAACCTTGCAATACTAATGCTAATACTAGCACTCATACTAACACTAACACTAATACTCACACTGATACTTATGCTAAGGGCAATACTAATGCTAATGCTAGCTATAACTATAACTACTGCCAGCTACAGACCGTAAACCCTAGCCCTAAACTCGTCAACCGCACGCGCCGGGCGCGCCTAACCCAAAACCCGAACAGCCTAAACCTTAAACCCTGCACCGTAAGACCCCAACCCCTAGACCCTAAACATCGGAACCCTGCGCTAACAATAAGTACTAACTACAGACCCTAAACCCTAGCCCTAAACCCGTCAACCGCACGTGCCGGGCACACGTAACCCTAAACCCTACGCCGTAACACCCAACAGCCTCAACCCCAAACCATAAACCTTAATCCCTGAAAATTCATATGATATTGAAATAAAAACTGATTATAGCTATATCTACAAACAAACACTAAACCCGTAAACCGCACGCGCCGGGCGCGAGTAATGCTAAACCGTAAAGCCCCAACAGCCAAAACCCTAGACCGCGAAACCGCAAACCCCAAAACCCTAAACTCAATAAAGTGGTCCAAGTGGTTCAAGTGGTGCAAGCGGTGCAAGCGGTGCAAATGGTGCAAGATCACAAGATTGCAAAACATGCCCATCCTCCAAGTGTGCATACTAACAAGATTGCGAGATTGCAGAATGAGCAACCTTACGTGCAATCTTGCCCCCCAAACCGGCAAGCCAAACAACAAAAATTAGCTAAATCTTAGCCATTTGGAGAGCCCCCAAGATTGACAAGATTTGCAAGATTGAGGTAGATGACCAAGATGGGCAAGATGGGCAAAATCTTGGTCCCAAACAGCGCGCCTCGTCTCCCAGCACAAAGTAGTGGTAGTAGTAGTAGTAGCAGTAGTAGTAGTAGTAGTAGTAGTGGTAGTAGTAGTGGTAGTAGTAGTAGTAGTAGCGGTAGTGGTAGTAGTGGTGGTAGTAGTGGTAGTAGTAGTAGTAGTAGTGGTAGTAGCCGCCACAAGTGCTCAAGATGCCGCGCTGAATGAGAGGTTTCGAACAGGCTTGGGGCGCAACTGCTGTGCTAGAGGTCCCTACCGGGCTCCTTTTCCGAACAGTAAAGGTTTGTGCCTCCCTCTACGCCATGGTCCTCTCCTTATTCCTACAGGAGCTGCTTTGAGCCGCCAGGTCCCAATTTCTGGGCCCAGACTCTGTTTAAAACATTGCATCGCTGGGTAGGCGGTAGGGTTTCCACTTCCGCGCAGTGGAGGGAGTCATTAGGCTTCTGTCTCTTGACGAAAGTAGCGGATGGCGCAATTGCCAGTGCACTCACAAAACTTTGCATCTCTTCGCAAGAATTCGTTCAAGACAGCATGTAGACGAACAATACGAAGTGACGGGCCCGTACCATACCGAGGGCAGGTCTTGACACCTACCCTGGTCGACCGTCTGGGGGTCCGGCCCCCACCAACTCGAAGAGAGCTTCAGTCACAGACTGCTGACTCCCCTGCATATGGCACAGCCTCCCGCAGGGCAGGACGACTAGAAAGATCCATTAGGGTCGTCTCGTGGAATGCGGGACACCTAGGTCAACAGCAATGGGGAGAATTAAAAACGTGGCTAGCAGCTGAAGCATCCAACCACTGTGACGTGCTCATCCTGCACGAAACACACTAGACGGAGACAAGTGAATTCAGTGTTTCAGGTTGGTACTGTATTTCTTCGGCCTCAGCTTCTGCCAAACGAAATCCCCCGCAGAAGCAGGGTGCCAAGCGGAAGTCCAGACAGGACTCGAAAGAGGGACCATCCACGACAAGAGCGGATGGAGTTATGATTCTGTTCTCGCCCAAATTCGCAGCTAAGAGCCTTCGCTGGAAGGAATGGAGCCCAGGCCGAGTCCTGGAAGCTCGCGCGGACATTGCAGGAACCAGACTGGTCATTGTTGCTGTTTATCAACATGCTTGGTCCTCGTCCAAGTCTATACAGTCTAACAAAGATGACCGTGCTCAGGTCCTGTCAGTCATGTCCAAGGTTGTCAAGCAGGTGCCTAAGCGTGACTCTCTTATTGTGGCAGGAGACTTTAACACTTCCTTGCGACCGAGCCCTCCCTTGGTGGGCACGCACGTGAAGCCACCCACGGATGATCGCCCAGATGAATCCCACCTGTCTAATCTGTTGCTGAGGTTGCGCCTGGTTGCCCTTAACACCTGGCACTGCGACCACGTTGCCACCTTCGTTCAAGGCGGCGTGGAATCGCAAATCGACTTTGTCCTTACTAAGGAATCTACGGCAGGAGGCAAGGCCAAGCGATCTGCTCCCTGGACGGACTGCCCGCTGGGAAGCTGGAAGAAAGGCGGACACTACCCGATTAAAGCTGACATCCCCCTCCAGCATCACTGGTTGCTTCCACCTCATAAGGGCAGCATGCGTCGCTATGATTCCTTAGCTCTTCAGGCATCAGTCAGAGAGGACGATGACACAGCCAAGGCACTGCATAGTTGGATAGCCTCCAGAATAGAGTCCTGCCAAGACCCCACGGATTGGAATGCACTGCTGCTTGAAGGCGCGGAACGATTTTTCCCCAAAATCCCAAAAGCTAGACAGATCCCGCTAGAGTCAGAGACTCGTCGTATGTGGAGGGCCAGGACCTCCCACAGGGTCGACAATACAGCTCCCTCAGCACAGCTGATCGAGTCCAACCAAGCAATGGCACAGCCTCCTAGGTCAAACACGATACCTCAGCCGGAAACCGAGGCAGAGCTGGCGCAGATAGCACACAGACAAGCTGTGAAGCAAGCCAAGAAAGAAAGAATAGCGAGCTTCATAGCGGAGGTCGATGCGAGCATAGCAGAAGGTGACCAACATATCTCGTTTCAGACCCTTAAAAAGCTGCAGCCTTGGCAGCCAGCGCGTCGAGCTCAGCTCAAGGACGCCACAGGACATCTCCTGGGTCCAGCGCAGGAGCTTGCTACACTCAGGGAATACGCGAATCAGGTATTTGCGGCTCACCCACCATTAAGACCTTTGACAGGAGCTTTTCCAGTCTTGGAGCCATCCAAATTAGCCGCTCACATTCATACAATCAAGCCCAACAAAGCAGTGCCAGAGGGCGCCGCACCTGCGGCTGTATGGAGAC